CGTTCCATTTTATCCACCGACTTTTGCAGGAGAGGGATGCGCACGTTCAAGATGCCAGTCGTGTTTGTCCTGGGATGCATAGGGCGGCTCCTTGACGAGCGGGGCGGTTGTTTGCCTGCTTGGCAGTGGACCAAGTTTGGTGATGTCAAACCTGATCCAGTTAAGCCCGCTGAGATTTGAGCCTTTTGAGGGGGAATCGAGGAGCCATTTAAAGGTTTTCCGACCCTGAAAACGTTGAAGCCTGCAACCCTATACGCGTAGACTTGAACCTTGAACCTCAAGCCCTAACATGAACCCCAACCCAGAAACCTCATTAGGTTTTTGTCACGCCCCGCCGCCCACCCCCCCCCCCTCCCCCAATGGTGTGGTAGCTATATTCTAGATAACGATTCGAATATAACCCCTACCAATCCTATGGTCCTGTGGCCTGTGATTTGCACCCCCCCCCCCAATGGTATGGTGGCTATCTTCTAAGCTCTAAATCAGGATTCAAGTGAAACCCCCCCGCCGCTCCCTCCCCCTCCCTGTGGTCCTGTGGCCTGGCCCGTGGGTCTTGTGGGTGAAGCTAAGGTTTAGAGAGGTTTGTACTATAGTGGATTTATAATGTTCATAGAAGGTTTATAAATGGTGCACAGAAGGCTGCAAGAAGGTTTACTGAGGCTTCATGTTTCTGTAGAAGGTTTATATAAGACGAGGGCCACCCCGATCCCTGTGAGTTGGTACTTTTGAAACGCGATGGAGAGCATGAGGGGCTAAAGGTGACGACAGCTACGAGGATAGAGGCTTTGAGGTGCCAAAAACGACGACAATTACGAGGATGGCGACCATGAGTGCCCCCATCCTTGTGACTGTTGGCACTGTTGAAGCATATCATGTGGCTGGATGCCGTTGACGGGTGGCAGTACTTTCACAGCTCGCTCAGAAATGCCCTGCTTTACAAAAATGTTCTCAGTGGACATCGATGGTATGATGTACTCTGCAGCCAGTCCACGTATGATGTTCTTGCACCCAGCATTGCGGATGTGCGCAGTGATGTTCATGAGTTTGGCATGCTTCTTTCTGTTTGTGTCGTGCCTGATGAGTGGATTAGTGATGTGAGCGACCTTGTGCTGTAGTCTTTTCCCTGTCTATGTGGAGCATGACAGTGGAAGCTTATCCCATCACACGCCGCTGGCCTAGCATGGGTTCAAAAAAGAAGCATATCATTCGGGGGGTTGGGAGGGATACCATTGGGGGGTGGGGGCTGGGGAAAACAGAGCGCAGGACCATGCATAAGTAGAATTGGATCAACGGCCAATATTCTGGACGACCGTGAAATTGCGAAGCCTGAAATCCTAAACCTAGACTTTGGACCCGAATCCTAAACCTCAAGCCTGAGACCCGAAACCTAAACCCCAAACCCTTATCCTTCTATAACCGCGCCACTCAATGTTGGAGGCCGCCTGTAGGGTAGGAGGCCAAACTGAGGAACCCTTTGAAATCAAGGGTGTGGAGTGTGGGGGTTGGATTTGAAGCTGGTTTTTTGAGTAGAGTAGAGTTTTATTTACGGTCTGAGGTTAGGTAGAGTTTTGCAAACGACTTGGGAGCTTTCAATGTACTGTACCGTTTATAGGGGGGTTTAGGGTTAAGGCTCAATCTTCTCCTAGAGGATGGTTGGCGGTTCAGCTATCTGGATACTGAGGAGGGCTGGCAAAACGTATTTACGTTTACTTCACTTCCGCATGCAGGGGTTTGGCACGATACGCTGCGGCATGTCCTTTTGAGTACAGATGCTTTCGTCGTACAAATCTTTAAAGGGCATGCGAGATCAACCAGCTGTGGCTTCTATTATTCCAATGCTACAGAACCAATTCTGGGTCAAGTCTCAGCGTTCTGTCCAGTGCGAGTTTGTGGAGGATTTGCAGTATTCAGACCAAATTCGTATGGTACCTGTGTAGTAATTCTGATTCTAAGTATGTGCCTCCGTTTGCATACCGCTAGTCAAGATGACTTGTGAAGTCCCTGCTAGGAGGTTCAGCCGGCACTGCCCTCAGTCCTTGCTCTAATTCGGTGAATCTTATCCTTTCCAATATGATAGAGCGCTTTCCAAATCCCCTCGCACCCCAAACACTAGGGAGGGCGCGTGAGGTATCAACAAGCCCCCAAGACTTCGGGAGCATTTTGGAGTAAGTATTGTGTGTGCACGCAGAAGCACACGCTGCTTGTTGGGAACTTTTGCCCTGCTTCCCACATTGTGGGGACCCCCAGTTCCGTCAAACTTGCTCAACTTGCTAAAGCCTGAAGCCTGCCTGGGCGCAGAACACAGTGCTGTCAGTGTTGTGAGCATGCATCTTCCGTTATGCCCACGGCCAAACCAAAAACATGTCCTTCCTGAACCTGCGACAAGGGGGGTTTGACACAACTAAGGGTAGGGGGGGAGGGGGGGTGTCAAGGTGTTTTCGGCCCACTTCCATTTTGAACGCGATATCCGTAGGATATCAGCGGCATGCGTTGGATTGAGCTGAGCTAGTCGGTAAGCATTAGTACTAGGGTTTGGGCATGTGAACGCTCTGTGTTAACTGAGCTGAGATACAAGGGGATGGACCGTAGTAAGCATTAGTACTTACATTTGGGCATGTGAACGCTCTGTGTTACCGTTTGAGGCGGGAATATGCTGCAATGCTCTCGGAACTGTGCGCGGTTGGGGACAACTGTTGCGTGGTGCAGGCATGGATGCTCTGCATATGTAGGGATGCACTCTGAGGTAGGAGACTTCTCTGATCCACGGGTACCCCTGGGAATGCATAAGGGGGCACAGAATCTTGTCTAAAGTTGGGAATTTGGGAATTGTTGGTCAAGAAGCCAGAAATATGCAAGTCGTTCGACCTCTGAGGCTTGTTCATGAATGAACTGTTTTTTTCTCCTCACGCCGCTAAGCCCTCGGAATGCTTGCGGGGCCCAGTCCGAGCTCTTCCGAGCTCTTCCAAACAATTCGGAAGAGAACTCGGACTGCCAAGCATTCCCAGGCCTTAGCGGTGGAGAGCTTGCCCCCGGGCTTGCAGAAACGCCCTAAACCCTACACTCTAAACCCATTTCAATGCCTACTGACTTGGACATTCGGTGCCGTGCCTGCACTCTGTGCGATGTGCGTGTCTAAACCCATTTCAAACCTTAAGCCTTAAACCCTAGAGCACGTGGTGTGGGGCGACTTCTTTGTTCAGATCGGCAACTATTCTAGGGTTCGTTTGGGCCACATTTTAAGTCAGAGGGGTACGATTACCAGAATTTTCGTATTTCGCTTTTCCTGGGCTAGCCAAACGTTGAGCTCGCCAAACCCGCTAAGACGGCTAAGCCCACTCAATCGGCTAAAGCAGCAACAAATCTGCTGAAGCCGCTACACCCATACGCCGTCATGCACCCCTCAAACTCGCTCAACTTGGCTAAAGCCGCTGCAGCCTGCCAGTGCTTAGAAAACAGTCACGTTTGTGTTGAGCGCGTCCAGCTTTCAAATCATAATGGTGTCCTTTCTAAAGCCTGTGACATGGCGGCCGGACAAAGAGGGATTTTGGTCTACTTCCATTTTCAACGCCCTTCCAAAAGCATGTGCCGCTCCCATAAAAGTCATACCCAAACCATACCAACA